ACTGACTCCTAAAAGGATTTTTCTTACCCTATGGGTATGGATGTTGATATTTCTGATAAGTGATTCGTTCACTAAATGCCACACTTTTTTTCCAGTGACCAGACTTGGATTTCAAAACTGTCATATGCATTGCATTAATATTATCTTTTGCAAAACAATTTGTTTTACTTGCGAGAAAGCATTTGACATCAGGAAAGTTTCTACAATGCAAAGTTTGACAGGAATAAGATATAGAACGTCTGAGTACTCCTTTGAGCAGGGGCAAGTCACATCAGGTAAACGTAAGCAGAGTCGGTCATCCCTAGATGCAGTTAATCTGGGGCAATCAGGTCGAAACTCGTCAAACCACTCGAAGGCCAGTCGAGGACGCCATTCCCTAAGGTTAGTTAATCTGGGGCAATCAGGTCGAAACTCGTCAAACCACTCGAAGGCCAGTCGAAGACGCCATTCCCTAAGGTTAGTTAATCTGGGGCAATCAGGTCGAGATTTGATAAATCTCTCGAAGTCAGCCAGGGGCACTTCTCTACAAATCAGCCAATTAGGAGGAAATCACTTCAAAGCTGGGGCAGGTCACCCGAAGAGCACAAAGACTATCCTTGTCCAGAAAGGAAAATAACTTGAAGCACTTCTTCGGGGTTCGAAGCGCTGAGGCAGTTCATATCTAACCATCAGGGTACCGAAATTTCAGGTTTCCTTTCGAGGAAGGTTTTTACAAAAGTCCCACAGGCTGGGGCATAATCGGAAACAAAGGAGATGTGTTCCTCTCCATGTCTTCAGAGCTTGTCAGAGTTATAGAAGCAGATTTGGGTTTATTTCCCCAGCAGTGAGGCGAGTGCAGTACTGTTATCCCCACATAGTCTGAACAATTGACTCCTTTCCCATCAGAGTCTAGGTCATTGACTCATTCCTCAAGCGGAAGTCGTATTTATTGAGTTTACCTCTCATTTTCCCCAAGCAGAGGTTGATGTTGATTTCCTCCTTATCTAATCCCCAGCCAAGTCAGCGAAGTTAATTTTCTTCCCCACAGAGCGGAACTGACTCGGAGGTCGTTCATCTCCATCCCCAGCAGAGAAAGTGTGGGATAATCCTCCCAATAAGTCTTATTCAACATCCCTAGCAGATAGTGGATTCAATCTCCTGCAGAAGAGAGTTATTCCTCAGCAATCTGCTACGTTTCCCCAGTAGAGTTATTCTGGCTAATCATTCATAGCCGATTTCCCCGGTAGAGTGGAGTTGTTGCCTCCAGCCAAGTTACTTGATCCCCAGAAGAGTTGTAGGCTGATAGGCCATCCGGGACGTTCTCCTCAGCAGAGTTTGATTTAGATCCCCAGCAGAATGGATTTATTCTTAGCAAAGCAGTTTTACCCAGAAGTTTTCTCGGAGGCCATCCACGGCTTGCATTCCCCAGCATGAGTTTATTTGCGCTAAGGCGTATCTAGCTCTGACTCAACGGAGTTGGCTCTTTCTCTTTAGCATTTATTTCGCTAAAATGGTTCATTTGCATTTACATACGTGCATAGCATCCACCCAAATGCGAAGCATTTCCATTTCATATGGAGCATTTCGTCATATCCAAACATATGCATGCGAGACATAAGCCAGATCGTTACCCTTTTGTTTCAAATGAATCTCGCAGATGATTAGTATCTTTGCCCGTATGTCGGTTTGACCCTAGCTCATGCTGTTTCCCCAGCAGAGTTATTTTGCGACTATCACCGATGGATGGTCTTAACTTTGTTTGAATCTTGTTGCTCGCTTATATTTAGCGAAGGCTTGGCGGCGATGTCAAGTATTTATATTCTTCAACGGCGATGTTGAGAAGTCTGTTTTGACGGCGATGTCAAGTATTTATATTCTTCAACGGCGATGTTGAGAAGTTTGTTCTGACGGCGATGTTAGATGATTTAGTATTCTTCAACGGCGATGTTGAGAAGTCTGTTTTGACGGCGATGTCAAGTATTTATATTCTTCAACGGCGATGTTGAGAAGTTTGTTCTGACGGCGATGTTAGATGATTTAGTATTCTTCAACGGCGATGTTGAGAAGTCTGTTTTGACGGCGATGTCAAGTATTTATATTCTTCAACGGCGAGGTTGGATGTTTGTTTCTGGCGGCGATGTCAAAATAATTTGTTTATTCAGCGGCGAGGTTGGATGTTTGTTTCTGGCGGCGATGTCAGAATAATTTGTTTATTCAGCGGCGAGGTTGGATGTTTGTTTCTGGCGGCGATGTCAAAATAATTTGTTTATTCAGTGGCGAGGTTGGATGTTTGTTTCTGGCGGCGATGTCAGAATAATTTGTTTATTCAGCGGCGAGGTTGGATGTTTGTTTCTGGCGGCGATGTCAGAATAATTTGTTTATTCAGCGGCGAGGTTGGATGTTTGTTTCTGGCGGCGATGTCAGAATAATTTGTTTATTCAGCGGCGAGGTTGGATGTTTGTTTCTGGCGGCGATGTCAGAATAATTTGTTTATTCAGCGGCGAGGTTGGATGTTTGTTTCTGGCGGCGATGTCAGAATAATTTGTTTATTCAGCGGCGAGGTTGAAAGTTTGTTTTGACGGCGATGTCAAAAGTAATTTGTTTATTCAGCGGCGATGTTGAAAGTTTGTTTTGACGGCGATGTCAAAAGTAATTGTTTGTTCAGCGGCGAGGTTGAAAGTTTGTTTTGACGGCGATGTCGGAGGATCGTATCTTTGGATTCAATATCTGTTTGTATTTAACAGAGGACTGACGGCGAGGTTAGATCTTTTTACCGACTTAATGTCGAGGCCTGACCGTGAGGTCAGATGCTTTTACTGATTATTTTAAGAATTGACGGCGAAGTCAAAGCTGTTGGAAATGACGGCGAAGTCGGAAGATTGTTTTAAGAATTGACGGCAAAGTCAAAGCTGTTGGAAATGACGGCGGAGTCAGAAGATTGTTTTAAGAGATGACGGCGAAGTCAGGTTATGTGAAGACTGACGGCGAGGTCAGATGTTTACTTGATTTATGACTGACGGCGAGGTCAGACGTTCTACTTAATGTGGGTGCCTGGCGGCGATGTCCGAAGTTCGTATCGCGGTTGTCAAATTTCTGGGTCCTTGGGTATTCAACCGTCTTTTACCTTGAATGTATGAAAGTCGTTTACCTTTCATCCCTTCAGGTCTAAGTCGCTTGAATAGGGGCAGCTGTTGTACCCCAAAATTTGACCGACCTCTCTGGCTTATGTTTTATTTCATTGCATCAGCATATACGTAAGCATTGCATTGCATAGCATTTTGCATTTCACAGGGGATCAAGAAATGTGTGTCTAACGAAAATTACCAATGGTTTTTAACCTGATCAAGGAGGTTATATTCAAGTCACCAAGTGATTACCCCTATCAGAGACAAGTCAAGGTCCTTGAAGACAAACAGATAAGCATATGTGGTTGTCAGAGACGGAAAAATAAAAAAATATATGTTGCTTCCATCATAAGATTGAGCTGAATTGGATAGGCTTTGGTTAAGGTTCATTTAAGGGATGAGTGTATCAATGTGTGGGCCCGGTAAAGGTCGGAAATCAGACAAGTTTGACTTGATCTTGGTCTGGAGAATTTTATTTCATGATTAGAGATGATTGATTCAAGTGATAGGGTTGATTCCTTTCAAGGCATGGTTAATCGTTTTTAAGAGATTTTTGGAATATCTTTGATTTGGTGTTCCAATATTCTTGGAGCCACATCCTTAGATAAGTATTAAGGTTGTGAAAATTAAGCGAGATAGGTCATGGCTGGATTTATTTTAAGTTTGTGCAAATTATGACAATTCATGCTTTAAAAGAGGAGTGACTCATGTTTGCCTCAGGATTGATGTTGATATACTTTGGAATATGGATGTTCATTCTACATAAGTGGAGTTATGTTGTTTGAGCAGACAGGTGATGTGAAGGGATATTACTAGATAGAGGAAACCTTTTGTGCCAGAAGCATGTCACTAGAAGTGATAACTTAAGACTGTTCTTCCTAACGCATCCGATTCTCGTCATAAGGGGACTGTTACCGTAAAACCATTTCAGGGCAATCATAAATCTGACTTGCCGGGGGAGAAGACAGCATCATCTGTCAGATGTTGAAAAATCATGACAGGAGCTTTAGTATGACAAAAATGTAGTAGTAGAACATGAAAGGGGCACAATAATTTAATTTTACATTATAAAGTGAAGTTTGAGGCTTTGGGGAGACATGACAATATTGGGCCCCTAGCTCTGCCCTTGGTCCCATTAGACAAGCACAAAAGGCAGGAGAATATTGTTTTTTCCTATTTAGTGGCTGGTCTGTATTGAGAAACAGCTTTGGAGTAGTTCAGTTTGTTTGGTAGGGCTGCAACAAAATAAGAACCTTTTATTGTGAGCTTCAGTTCAAAAGGATAAGTTCATGTTATTATCATTACATATGTAAATGCATTCAACAAGACATTGGTTATAGAAATCTGATGTTTTAATTAGCTGTGTAATTGCTGCAAGCTTTGTTCAGTGGTCAGGAAGTTTGGGATGGTGCACCTACTGCTTGCTACTTTAATATTTCATGATTGTCTGATTCTTGTTTATTTTTGCAATCACTACTAGAAACAAATATGTTCATTACATGATAAGAAGATTAAGTCTAGAGTCACTGTTGTGGATATATCTGTGGGGAGATGTTTTGATTGGAAATCATGCATTTAAGCGGTATTTTTTTCTGTGCCTGGGAAGTGGTATCCTAGTTACCAAGCCAGATATTTGTTGCTACATTTACACAAATATATTTGTTTTTTTGAAGTCATCTTTGAAGCCTTAGGGTCTTTTCAATTGGTCTTGCTTGGATTACAACCTCCATGGTAGTAAAACTATTGCGGCTTTTAGTGAGCTCGGTACAATTGTTGGGCACTGCTAACACAGACTCCTGATCATGCTGCAAGCGGAGAGAGAAAGAACAGAAACGTAAAGGCGTGGTGAAATTTCTAGAGAGAGAGAGAGCGAACACACCATCCTCTCTCTCCTCGATGGAAACCGGTGAACAAGGCCTCCCTTCAGCCATCGCCACCGCTCCAACCGCCGGCGATCCCACCGCCTCGCCTCCTCTTATCGGTGATGCTGTCATTAGTCCCGATCCAGCTGTTGACTTTGATTACGTTGCTAAGACTGAAGTTCATGCTTTGATTTCAGACGAAGAGCATGATCATGTTCATGAACATGAACTCGATCACGATTTCGATCACGACCATGAGCACGTGCACGAGCATGACCACCATGATGAAGGCCATGAACGCAGGTCACGTGGCTGAGACTGTTGTCTCATTGGATGATCTCAAGCTCAAGATAATTAAGCAGGTGGAGTATTATTTCAGTGATGAAAATCTGCCCGATGATAAGTATTTGCTGAGTCTCGTCAGAAGGAACAAGGAAGGGTTTGTTCCTATACAAGTGATTGCTGCTTTTAGGAAAACAAAGAAGCTCACACGGGACCAGTTGCTTGACTTTGAATGGGGTATGCAGTTCTTGATGAAGGGCATAAAATAAAGAATCCAAATGCAGAAGCTACCCTAGCTTGTAAACAGCTACAAACTGTACACCGCATCATTATGTCTGGTGCACCTATTCAGAACAAACTGAGTGAGTTATGGTCGCTGTTTGATTTTGTTTTCCCTGGAAAATTGGGTGTTTTGCCTGTATTTGAAGCTGAGTTTGCAGTTCCTATAGCAGTTGGCGGATATTCAAACGCTTCTCCATTACAAGTATCCACAGCATACAGGTGTGCTGTTGTGCTGCGTGATTTAATTATGCCTTATCTTCTCCGACGAATGAAGGCTGATGTAAATGCTCAACTTCCCAAGAAAACTGAGCATGTTCTGTTTTGCAGTATTACACCAGAGCAAGTATCTGCATATAGAGCATTTTTAGCCAGCACTGAAGTGGAGGAAATATTGGATGGAGGCAGGAATTCACTTTATGGAATTGATGTGATGCGCAAGATCTGCAACCACCCAGACCTACTTGAAAGGGAACATGCCTTCAGCGATCCAGATTATGGAAATCCAGAACGTAGTGGGAAAATGAAAGTTGTAGCTCAAGTGCTCAATGTTTGGAAGGAGCAGGGTCACCGCGTTCTTCTTTTTACTCAAACCCAACAAATGCTTGACATTTTTGAGAAATATTTGACCACTTCTGGTCATATTTACCGGAGAATGGATGGTCTCACTCCTGTAAAACATAGAATGGCTTTAATGGATGAATTTAATGCCTCGAGTGATATTTTTATTTTCATTTTAACAACTAAAGTTGGGGGGTTGGAGACAAGTCTTACTGGTGCAGATAGGGTGATCATCTTTGACCCTGATTGGAATCCTTCAACTGATATGCAGAATAATGTTCTAGGCTAGAGAGCGTGCATGGCGAATTGGTCAGAAACGGGACGTGACAATATATAGGTTAATCACACGTGGAACAAATTTGACGTGTTGCAAAAGGAACACAGACAACCTGATGATACGATGTACACATCCGGTATTCACGCAAGATGATACGCAACACACAAGGCACCAGCAATGTACCAATGACGGTTTCTATACAGCCGACACATTCAGTACCCGACACGCACAAGAATTCATCCCAAGTTGTCGATTAAGCAGGACAAATAGCCATTTCTCTGGATGTTGCTCGGGCTTTAAGCCAATACGTGGAAACCGCCATTTTTTGGGCAACTGTTACAAGCCATTTAGTCTTCTGCAGGTGTTGCTACTGCTGTTGAAACCATTGAGGCCATTTTTGAAGTATGATATTGGTTCTAACTACAGTTGTAGCAGTGAAAATGATGTCGTTCCGGATCTGCATCCGTGGATATCAATGTTGCGGGATGAAACGGTGCTGCCAGAGTTCTACACAGCCGCATCTAAGTTGTTTCACGCACCAAATCACCTGGAATGACAAAACAAAGAATCACGTTACAGATCGTACCAAAATCAATAACATAACCAGCAGCATATCAAAAGCAGCAGCGCACTAATCCAGACCTTGCAAAATGTATCAGTTCATGTGGAATAAGCTTGGAAGTCCGCTTCAGGTATCAAGGCCAAGCCCGTATTTGAAATTCAGGCAGTGCATACATGAATCACTTGCATTCAATGAGACCTGATAGTAATGTGAACACCAGTACTAATGAGTGAATCCTTTGGAGTTGAGTTCATGCCACCTAAATCATACTGATAATGTTGGGATTGCATTGAGTTTTGATCAAAGGAATCAGAGGATGAATATCCCATTCCCATACCTGTTGGTCTATAAATTACGTGATAGTTGTTCCTTGGTTAGTGGAGGTGTCACTGGGATGTTTGCCATTGATTCACACTTTGAACTCTCGTCTTCAGATCTTGCTGAGAGTTGGCGACGTGAACCTTAATGATCCAACCAAGAACTCTCGGTACAGGGCAAAACTAATGACAACAACTCTGTCACAAGCAAATCAAATGTTTGAAAGACAAGAATAACAAGGGTGAGATCATAAAAGGAAGCCAAAGCAAAGCCATCCCATAAACTAACCTAAGTGATTCACAAGCCCACTATAATGTCTTTGCCTTCATCCTTCAAGGTAGTCTGTGATACTGAAATTGCCTTTCCATGACGAATAGCTCTATCGAACCAGTCATTGTCCTGTCCCATGTACACATAAAACAAAATGCAGTGAGGAAATATTCAGTTAGAAAGGAAGTGGTTAAAACCCCTGCATCTTTTTTTTAAAATCAATTACCACGGTAAAAGCAAAGAAGGGGAGTTACCGCAGTGAAAACTAATTGAAGATATTACCTCACTACAGACAAAAAGGACTGAGAAAATCGTACCACAAGGGCAAGAGCCTCACCTCAATTCTTCAGACACTCTCTCCATATAAACCATATGAGAGATGACAGCAAAAAACCCTAATCTGAGATTGAGCCTCCAACCAAAGCCCTAGCCGCAACCCTTTCCGTTTCCACCAAACAACCTTCAGTGGAAGCTCCTCCCCTGTTCACCTTCAAACGTCCTTTAAAACCTTCATCTTCACTACCTAACAGACCTTCATTAACCAACCCACCTTCGAAATAACCCATCTCTAATCCACCTTAAATCAAAGCTTTTTCACCCAGAAAGCCTTAACTTCATCGCACCTCACCCGAACCTCACAACCCTGTGGAAATTGCCGTGAAACTCCAGCCATAACTCCACTTCAAACCTAAATTCAACTTCCAACCCTGAATTCATTTCGAAATCAAAGCCCAGAAACCTCCTTCGAATAACCGTAAACCCCACAAAATCATCACCGAATCAAAAATAGATGAGAAAGATGGTGGAACAAGGAAATGAAGAGAAGATCTGAGATGGGAACACAAAGTAGAACTTAGAAATACGAAAAAACCTATCGCCCTAGTCTGCCAGTCGAGAAGAAGGTGGCGTGTGTTCTCCCTCGTTCCCCTTGATTTTTTTTCTCACTTTTGCGAATGACCATGGTTGTCGTTGATCTCGTTCCCTTTTTCTCGTTTTCAAAACCTATTTTGCTGTTGGGATTTACATGTTGTGACTCAAAAGCTGAACAGTGTTAGGATTTTTGTTGATCCGCGAGTTTGTGGCCCATCTAATGTTCATACTTAACACGACACCTCCATTTCAATTCTTTTTTTTATTATTATTATTCTGTCAATATATTATATAGTTTATGTTATATATTTTGTTTATTCAAAACTTTTATTATTTATTTATTTATTTTTTAACAGTTTATATTATTATAATTCTGTTAATATATTATATAGTTTATATTATATATATATATATATATATATATATGATTCTTATACTTTATTCCCCCTATTTTCTTTCTTAACTTTTTTTTTTGATAAATTATCTTAGTTTATGTATATTATTATTCTATTCATATATATTATTTAGTAAATATTTTGAATATATTGTTTTATATTACTTATAGTTTATATGTACTCTATATTTAAGTTTGGAGATTTATTTTCTTTTAAAAAGATAATTTCATTTCGCATTTATTATTGGGCATTTTGTCCCATTTTTCTGTTTAGGTCGATGACGAGACCTCTGTAATTCATTACCAGTCAAATTATTGATGAGTAATGTTGGATTTGAGACCACCCCTTTTCTCTCTTCATTACTTGTCCCGACTCGATTCAAAAACTTTGTCAAACAATTTTCAAAATCAAATTATCTTTGTGTTGAATTAAAAAGAGGGGATTAGGTGTAGACTTTCTTCCTCTCCGAGTGTTGGGATACCCACTGTAGTGAGGGTGGTTCCGACACTCGTCTTTCAATACGAAGACGCTTCCCATCCATTTTCAAATCTCATCTCCTTAAAATCAATTCCTTGTATTGAATTAAAAAAGAGAGGATTGGGTGTAGACCTCTTCTTCTCCGAGTGATGGGATGCCCACTGTAGTGAGGGTGGTCTCAATGCTCGTCTGTCAACACAAAGACGCTTCCAACTTTTCCTCCTAAAAACCTCGGTCCCGTACCGAGTACACTTTTAATAATAAATTAATTTCTCTTTGTATCGAATTAAAGAGAGAAGATTGGGTGTAGACCTCTTCTTCTCCGAGTGATGGGATGCCCACTGTAGTGAGGGTGGTCTCGACACTCGTCTTTCGATACGAAGACGCGCCTTTACCCACCACCTCTCACTTTCACGACTTCCTTCCGTAATTTTTCACACCTAAAACCTCGGTCACGTACCGAGTGCATTTTCAAAAATCTTTTCATAACAAAAACTTGAATGGTCGTGGAGTGGTTAGGCGTAGGCCTTCTCCTATCCCGAGTGCTGACATTTACCGTAGGGTTCTCTGTCGCAAAGCGCTTACCATTCAAAACCAAAAACATCTTTAATAAGAGAACGAAGTTCTCTTTGCATTGAATTAAAGAGAGAGGATTGGGTGTAAGACCTCTTCTTCTCCGAGTGTCAGGATACTCACTGTAGTGTGTGTGGTCTTGATACTCGTCTTTCAATACGAAGATGCCTCGTTCGCCACACCTTTTTATAACAAAAACTTCGAGATAACGAATTGGGTACTACCCGTAGGGGTTACTATCCGAGGACCTGTCTCGCCCCCTAAAAACAATCCAATCAATCAAACGTGACTTCTTGCCCCGCGTGGCGAAAACTAATCAATCTTTCAAAAGGATATGTTACGTCCGTTCTACCGCAAACAGGTAACGCCTAAGTCTCCAACGAGCGAGCAGCAAAACACCTAACTGCTAGAATGCGCACGATAGCATCATCCATAAAAAACATCAACACACC